GAGATGATTACTCATTAAGGTATACAAAACATGAACAAAACAAAAACAAAAGTTGATTGAGAAATAAACGAAGGTAATGCTGCTGCTGCTTCGGTCGTTGCTTCTTCTACTGCTGCTACAGCAGCAACTACTGCTACTACTGCAACTACTGGTGAACATTTTTAATGAACCTTAGTCCATCAGGTTGAAATAACAATTTGAAATGTATGAGGGCTATCGTGAGAAAAGTGAAAAAAAAATGTTTACAGATGTTTACACCACTTAATTCTATACAGGATTTGTAATGTCTATATATGATGATTGGTGCCAATGTTTCTAGGGTAAATAAACTGAAGGATAGAATATTTTGGGGGTGAGTTTGAGAACCTTTCTAAAATTTAACAAATAAAGTAAATACTCAAATAAAATATTGTTGTAATAATAATTTTAAGTTTGTGCATGTGTAGGTGTGTGGTGTGTATGTAGATGTGCCTGTGTGTGTGTGAATTTAAATATTTGCAGGTGTATATAGGACTGCAAAAATGGACGTGTGTGCGTGCGTGTGTGTGAGGTGTGTGTGTGTGTGTAATATGAAGTATGTGATAGGATGAAGATGACGACGACGCTGACTATGATTATGATTTCATAGTAAATACAGTAGATAAGCTGATGAGTGAAAATGAAAGAAAATTAAAAATAAAAAATATTTTTTTCGCTGGCACTGTTTTATACACCTTATTATTCCTCAGCCATAGAATGCACTGAGCTTTCTTTTGATTGCATGCATGCATGTATGTAGGGAGGGGTCAAATTTCATAGCTAAACATTTTCACTAGATAAAATAAACACTGTGTAAACATATTAATAATGTTAATGTTCAATAGCATAAGCATACATCGTCATCTCCATCAAACAAACTAACCAATATAGGTTTATTTTGTTATGATCTTTAGTTTAGTTCCATAACAAAGTATGAAAATATATGGCAGTAAATGTTTAATTGGTAAACTCTATAAAGTTATTTGCATCATCACTATTAACAAACACATAGCCATTTTCTCCGGTGTGATTGAATGTTTCTGTGTAAATTTATCATTTTTATTACAACTCTGGCTTGACTCATTATCTCAGTTAGTTTTAGTTTTTTGCTCTCTTGCACAGCTTATCTTGGGAGATACTTTTTCATTGCAAAGTTTTTAACATATTTTTTCTGGTTAAACTGCTTGTTCTTTCACCACACTATATATAAATTGATCTATATCTACTGGTATAGTTTACAAGTATTTGCTATTGTAATTTTTGTTTTGTTTTTTTAAATGTATTTGGCTGTGTATTTACTGATTTATAATAGATCATTGAGGCACTCAATTGAAATGAATTTATTTATTTATTTATTCGAGTTGTTTTGGAAAATATCTTGATGGAAATTAAGTTAATTTATTTAGCTATTCGGTCAAAAGTTATTTATTTATGATGGGTAGTGGCTATAGCAGTCGCTTCACAACGCAATCATCATCACAACAACGACAACGACGTCTGATCAACACCACCACCATAGCAAAAACAAAAAAAAACATCACTATCAGTACTGCAACAATGTCATCGTCGTCATCATCATCATCGCCTCATCATCGTCATCATGATCATTGCCAAAACATCCTTATCATCATCACATCATCATCATCGTCGTCGTCATCATCATTGCCACGGCTACACTTTCATCATCCAAACATCATTAACGCAGTTACAACAACAACATCCTCATCTTCATCACCAGACGACAACGATAACGACAATCCAAACCTCACAGAATACACTCCGTGCGATGAATTCCAGTGCCACAACGGCGCCTGCATCACGATGAATTGGAGATGCGACGGAACCGACGACTGTGGCGACAACTCTGATGAGTTCAACTGCACGCACCACCAGCGTTATCGCCAGCGTCATCATCCACAGCATCACCTCACTCGTAATGGTACAAATGTCCGCGGTGTGGATGGGGATGCGAACAGCTCCATTGATGGTGATGACGACCGTCTCAACCACCATACATACGATCATGAAATCCCTGATGATGATAACGATGACGATGATAATGACGATGATGAAGACGAAGAGGATGACGACGACGATGACGACGACGATGATGAATACAGTGAGGAGCACGTGAAGGAATGCTTCGAGTACAGTTTCAAGTGCCATCAGGGTGGCCAGTGCATCAACAGCGTGCAGCTGTGTGATGGCGTTGAGGACTGTGGCGACGGGTCTGACGAAGATCATCAGATGTGTCAGTCGATTCTTTCTCGTTACCATCATCATTTTCATCATCTTCTTCATCATTTCGTCGTCCTCTTCATCATAGTCGTTATAACCATCTTCACCATCGTCATTTTCATCCTCATCTTCATCATTCTCATCATCTTCTCCATCATTCTCATCATCTTCCTCATCATTGTCGTCATCTTCTTCATTGTCGTCATCTTCTTCATTGTCGTCATCTTCTTCATTGTCGTTATCATCATTTCCATAATTCTCACCATCTTCTTCATCTTCTTCATCATTTTCATCATCATCTTCAGCATCTTCATCATTCTCATCCAGGCCTGACGCATGCATGCCTGGAGGGCTACTTTCGATGCCACGACAACAGAACCTGCATTCCAGATGCACTGAGATGCGATGGCAGTGAAGATTGCAAGGATGGGTCTGATGAAGCTTCTTGTGTTGGTTAGTTGCTGTTGCAGCTGCTGTGTGGCTGTGGCGTTTCTCGTTGATAATAATCTACTTCTACTCATGCATCTTCTCTCTCTCCATCCATTCATTTTTGTATTATTTTTTCCCATCCATCTATTCATCCATTATTTTATTTATTCATCTGTCGTTTCTTCTCAAGACATTTGTGTTTTTTTTTTTAAAGTTAAAAATTGCTGAATGTTAAAGACAATAGGGTAGAGGCTAGAGCAATTGAGTCTGCATTTATGATTGTAATCCGTAATTAGATCTCTGCAGATGACGTGGATGACACTGAATGCTCTTCCCAAGAGAGCTACATGATGGATAAATTTAACGACTGCTGTTTTGTGTGAAGCTTCAAGTATTCTTTTAAGTTTTATGGCAAAAAACCTGGCGCGGATGTATTTGCCTCCAACGATGGTTGTCATAAAAGCAAAAAGGCAATTATTTGTCATTCAAATCCATTATTTGTTAGTAGTGTTGGTTTATTTTCAGCGTGCTTCTCTGATGGTTCGTTGATGACTGACTCGTTGTTATGCGTTGAATTATTAATTATTATTTTTCTTCGGCCTATGCTGTTATAAATCACTTTAATAATAAAATAGGAAACGTGCACTTGTATCTCTTTTCGGGATTGAAGATACCCACTTTTGTTGGTCAATGTTTGATGATACATTGGATATAATAATAGTATGATATATAGATGATTGTTTTTCGCGCTTTCATTTTTTTTCTTGGTGGCTTGTGATTGGTTTAGCACCTGAATTTTTAGACCAATCAATTTTTCCTGACTCATCAGGTTGCTGATAAAAAAATTCCATCTATCTCAATTCTTCCAGCAAATTGTTATTCTAAAACTATTTCATCAAACTTCAGTAGTTTCTCTGCTACACCTGAAGATTTGTAACAATCCCTACCGTGTAAATAATTTGGTCTACAATTTCATAGCCTGAGAGTTTCTACTTTTAAACTTTACGACGGGATTGTCATCCTTGTTGGATGGACCAATATCCTTGGTTGGTCAACTTTTTAGTGGTCTACATTGCTTTTTATCACGTGTTTATCAGCCATTAATTAATTCATACTTGAGTGTTAGGTTTTTTTTTCAATGTTGTTTGAAGAGTTATTATTATTATTATAATTAACTTTATTGTTTAAACTACTGTTATTTAATAAATTATTATTATTATTATTATTATTATTGTTACCAATACCTGGTATTTCAATTATTATTATGTCAATGATATCAATTATTATCAACTTCTGGTCTCCTTGTCATTTATTATTGTGATACTTTGCTGAATAAAAGATTGTTTCAATTCAATTCAAATACCGAAATAATCATTCCTTCTCACTTCGAAACCGCGCAATTTCATTCATTTGTTAGTTCGTTCACAAAACACGCTCAGCAGCTTCATGCAAGGAAGATGAATTCGACTGTAAGAGGAATGGTTCCGAGTGCATCAAGTTGTACAAGCTCTGCAACAGATACAATGATTGCTTGATGGGTGAAGATGAACTGACATGCGATCGTGGTTTGTACTACTGACTGATCATTTAAACTGTTAATTTTTTTTTTTTTCATTTTCATAACCAAAATCGTCAAGTTAGTGGTAAAAGTCGTCTCTTTAGTTATCATATCGTCGTAAGATAAACACCAATTTCTTTATTGTAATTATAAAATTTATCATCATCATTCCTGTCAGAATAATCATTTGTCATCGCCATTGTTGTCAATTCGTATCGACATAAACATCTCTACCTTCACTAACATGATAGACTTTCTCATCACCATCATCATTGTCATTTTTAACATCCTCTACTAGAATCCTCCTCTCCTACTGCCAATCCGTCAATCCTAACCAACTGCTCCTCTGCGTCCATGGTCATCAACAACAAGGTTGTGTGTACCTGTCCGCATGGCTTCAAACTCGCCACTGATAATCAAACTTGCGTGGGTTAGTAATGAGTGATTAGTTGACTGGCTGACTGGTTAGTTAGTTGGTTGGCTGGCTGGCTGGTTAGTTAGTTGGTTGGCTGGTTAGTTGGTTGGCTGGTTGGCTGGCTGACTAGTTGACTGGCTGGTTGGCTGGCTGACTGGATGGTTGGTTAGTTAGTTGGTTGGTTGGTTAGTTGATCGGCTGGTTGACTTGTTGGTTGGCTTCTTAGTTGACTGGCTGGCTGAATGGTTGGCTTTGTTTAGTCTAGTTTGCAAGAGAATTATTTGGCGCTTCACTTACACAGACGAGAACGAATGCCTCATCCCGAATATCTGCTCGCACGTCTGCATCAACAAACCTTCAGGCAAGGGCTACAAATGTTTGTGTCACCCTGGTTACGAGATGGACCCAAAGACGCATAGGTGCAAGGCTAAAGGTTAGTTAACAAGGATAATGAGCTGATGATGAGAACATTTATTAATCTGACCCATTGTCGTTAACAACACATGCTTTGTTTTACCATTTTTTATTTAGATGTTTAGATTCTTAAAGTTTTTGTTTTTTTTTTTTTTCTGAAAAACTTTTGGTTCCAAAAAGACTAAACATTACATTTAGTATAATTCAACATTGATTGAAGTGAAATGAAATCAAACTGTATGCACTTTTGGGTGTAATAAAAGGCGCTATACCAATAATCCGATAATAATAATAATTATCATTATTATAATATTAATTATAGTTATTATTATTATTATTGTTATTATTATTATTGTTATTATTATTATTGCTATTATTATAATGGTCATCGTAATGACCAGGCGAGGAGCCGGTGATGCTGTTCGCGAACAGGCACGACATCAGGCGCATCAAACTGCGGACTGGCACCTACGAATCTGTCGTCGACAAGTTGTACAGCGTCATTGCCATCGATTACGACTACCGCGACGGCTTCATTTACTGGTCTGATGTTACCGAAGAGACTATATACAGGTTGGGTGACTGGCTGGTGGCTGGGCTGGGAGGGTCGGGGCTCTGTCCAGGTGGCGTGTCGGTGTGATGGAAGTGGAAATGTTGGGCATGGATGAAGTGGAAAAACATCTGTAAGAAGATCGCTGACTGAAACTTATATATACGTCCAATGATGACGATGGGGCTGATGTTCAGCGCCACATCAATTTCTCTAATGATGGTACGATGTATGAACAGGCTGTCGTTGAAGTCAAGTGCAGAAGTACCGAAGTTGTTGGTGCACAAGGACCTGAGCACTCCGGATGGGCTGGCTCTTGATTGGGTTCATAAGAACTTGTACTGGACAGATACTGGTCAGTTGTTTGGTTGGTTGGTCAGTTGCATGATACTCACAACTTGCCAATTCTGGGTATGTCTGCTTGATTGGTGGTTGGGTTGTTGGTTGGTTGATATGATAGTTGGCTGATTGATTAATAAATTTGTTTTCAATGTACTTTTATATTTATAATTTTAATCCACTAAAACCAGCCGTGCATTTTTTGATCGCATATGAGTATTATCTCTTGATGCAATTAAATTTGTGCCTTCTCTTGAGACAAATGAAATGAACACAAAACTAAACCACCAGGCAAGAAGAGGATTGAGGTGATGTCAGTCCGTGATCCAGCTAATTTTCATCCGAGGAGAGTTTTGTTTGGCGAGATGTTGGATCAACCACGGGCCATCGTGCTCGATCCAAGGCCTGGCAAGTTGTTAGTAGTCCCGTGCTCTCTTTGTTCTTCGTTGATACACACACACGCACGCACACACACACACACACACACAAACAAACACGTTTTCACACACACAAACAAACCACGCAAACACTCACAGATACTTATTCTGGTCAGATTGGGGTTTGCGTCCGCGCATCGAACGCTCTAATTTGGACGGCTCATCGAGACGCTCCCTGGTCACCAACAACATCCGCTGGCCCAACGGGCTGACCATCGACTATGAAACTGAGAGGATTTTTTGGATAGATGCCAAGTTGCTGTCCATTTACTCGGCTGATTATGAAGGCGGCGATGTTTATTTGAACTTCATGTGCCGGGAGTACATAAAGCATCCGTTTGCTATCACTGTCTTCGAGGTGGATTTTGTTTGTTTGTTGGCTAGCTGGTTGATTGATTGGTTGGCTGATTGGTTGGTTAATTAGTTGGTTGGTTAGGTGATTGAGTGGGTTAGTGACTGAAAATAATCCAAAATTATCCCTTTCAACCATATTACTCATTTAACTGACGGTTTTGCTTGGAATTTCTTTGTTTTAACCTTTCATCCCATCTTTCATCTATTCATCCATCCGTTCACCTTTCACATGTTTCATTTCCATCCTATCCATTCATTCATTTATTTTTTCATTCCTTCATTCATCAACTTTATCATTTATTTTATCTATAATTCTTGCGTCCATCCATCCATCTATCCATCCATCCATCCATCCATCCATCCTCTTCAGGATGACATATATTGGTCGGATTGGGATACTGAATCAATCAACAGAGTCTCAAAATTCAACCGACTGATCAACAACAACAAATTCGTCAACAACAAATATTTGTATGCATCTCGTAACAACAACAACAACACAAACACTAACAACAACAATTGGAGTCGTAAAGTAAACAATAAGAATAACAATAATAATAATAATAATAATAAGGTTGATATGGTGGTGAAGAGGTTGCTATCTCCCATGGGATTGTTGATATTCCATGGGTTGAGACAACCGCAGGGTTAGTTGGTTGCTGTTGTTGTTGTTTGTTGTTGGATGTGTGTTTGTGTAATTGTTGTTGTTGGATGTATGTTAGTGTAGAAGTTGTTGTTGCTGTTGTTGATGTTGTTGGATGTATGTTGGTGTAGTTGTTGACGCTGATGTTGTTGGATGTGTGTTGGGGTAGTTGTTGTTGGTGGTTTTGGATGTATGTATTGTTGTTTTATTTTTGTGTTGCTGATGCTGATGTTGTTGTAGTTGTTGTAGTAGTTGTTGTTGTTGGATGTATGTATGTATTGATTTATGTTGTTGTTGTTGATTTTATAAAAAAAAAATCTGTGATAACATTGACTCTACAGTGATAGATTCCCTCCTATGTATGGGAGTTGTTTTTTGTTGTTTAATGTATGTTGTTGTTGTTGTTGATGATGATGTGTTTGTTTGTTTATTTTTATAGTTATTTAGTCGTGAGCTGTTGTTGATTTTTATTGCAACATGTCGTTGTCATTGCTAATGCCACGTTTGTGTTGTTGTTGTTGTTGTTGTTTGACCACCATTGTTGAATACACAACCTGATTGAAACATTTTTTCTCCAGCGACAATCCTCATCTTAATTATTGATATTAATGCTCTAACTTTTATCACCGGTACTCTTCACATAAAATAAACTTGTTTAAAAAAAATTATGCTTTCCACAGTTGAAGACGTGTGCCTGAGTTCGGGCTGCTCCCACATCTGCTTGCCATCTTACAGTGCCCAAAATATCCATTACAACAACAACAGCAGCAGCAGCAACAACACTACTTATAATAATAATGATAATAATAATAATAATAATAGTGATGATGAAAATAATAATAATAATAGTGACGTCACAGCCAATCAAAACGGCCGGGGCAACTTGGAAATGAAACTGAAGAGTAAAGCGTCCAATCATATCAGTAATAAAATCAGTAAAAGTACCGTTACTTCTAACAACAGTAATAACAAAAGTAGAGTTGGTAGTAACGGTAGTGGCGATGATAGCGACAGTGGTAGTAGTGGTGGTAGCAGCAGCAGTAGTAGCAGTACTGCAACTAGTGGTGGTGGTAGAAAACATGGCTACACATGTCTGTGTCCTGACCACAGTAATTATGAGCTGCAAGATGATGGCAAGACATGCGTTCAACGAGTCGTTGATGGTGGCAGTGGTGGTGGTGGTGGTGGGTCTGCTTATGGTGAGGACGATGATGATGATCGTGGTGATGATGATGATGATGATGATGATGATGATGATGATGATAATATGGTGACGATGATGATGATGGTGTTAGTGATGATGCTGATGAAGACGATATGATTGTGATGATGCTGGTAGTAATGATTATTTTTGTAGTTGTAAGGATGATGAAGATGAATGTTGATGATGGTGGAGATGGTTATAATGACGACGGTGATAAGAATGGTGATGGTGTAGATGTTAATCATGATGGTGATGATGATGACGATGATGACGACGACACGATGTCATGACCACCAGAAATAGGCCACACGACACCGGCCACAATGGCAGAAGAGGAGCCACACGCGAGTCGGAGGTTTGGCTTTATATTCGGCATCGTGGCATCACTCACTGTGATCGTTCTGTCGGTCAGTTTTTTGTTGTTGTTGTTGTTGTTTCTTCTTGTGCTTCAACATGCTATCAGATATCTGTCTATCTATCTATCTATCTATCTATCTATCTATCTATCTATCTATCTATCTATCAATCAACCAACTGACCATCCATCCAACCAATCAACCAGGCGATATACTTAGTGCACAAGGCACTGAGACGCCGTAAGGTGCCGAAGATCTCGCTGAACTTCGACAATCCTGTCTACCGTCGTACTATTGAAGATTCAGTCGGCATGGCACATCCATCCTCCGTGAGTTGTGGATTGATGGATGGATGGATTGATTGATTTATGGTTGGGATGAAAAAATCCATGGATTGATTGATGGATGGATTAATTGATGGATGGATGGATGGATTGATTGATTTATGGTTGGGATGAAAAAATCCATGGATTGATTGATGGATGGATTAATTGATTGATGGATTGGTTGATGGATGGATGGATTGATTGATTAATGGTTGGGATGAAAAAATCCATGGATGGATGGATGGATGGATGGATGGATGGATAGACAGATTAATGGACGTGTAGATGGATTGGTTAGATGAATGAAGCAACTAAAAATCCCGAAGACATGTGAGCGAAGCAAACGTGCGTGAAAATTGCAGAATTATCAAAAGAAATTATGACATAATAATAATAATATTATTATTATTATGAATTAAGATAATTATTACTTTTCTTATTTATTCCTGTCAAAGTTGCTGGAACCTCTTACTGCCTCTTCAAATAACGAACGCGCTTGAGTGCTACCAACTTCATCATCGTCGTCGTCATCATCGTCGTCCAAATTTTAGTGTTTATCATCATCAATTTTGAGTTTTCTCATTCATCACCAGCAGCAGTTTTATACTTATCTTCATCATCATCGTCGTCATCGTCATATTGTTGTTGTTGTTTGGCATCATAATAGTTGCTGTTTGTTTCTCAGTATCATCATCATCATCAACGTCATCATCGTGTTCCCCAATGTCGTCACTGCCTTCCCTCACTCAGTAGCATCATCACCGCCACAACCACCAACATTTTGCGACACCATTGATAACAGGGATGAAAAATGATGATGAGGATGATGATGATGATGATGTGGATGATGAGGATGATGATGATGTGAATGATGAGGATGATGATGATGTGAATGATGATGATGAGGAAGAAAACGAAGAAAGTGATGAAGATGTTGCTCGTAATAATCTGTCCATTGTAGCTCTGAACAGTACTAGTCTCCATCTGTAATCTATCGCATAAAACCTAGAAACACACACACCTCACGCACACACATCTACACACACATCTACCCAAGTGCACACTTACTTGCACTGTTGAATGGATATACAAATACACCACACATACTAACATGAACGAACATATACATGCGTCAAATACACACACACACATCCATATAAACATACTTGCACATCTGCGTATACATACACAAGCATACAGATACAGACACACATACAAACACAAACATACAAACATTGTCTGTATCAATACAATACAATCTTCACCAAACAAACGGACTCGCGAATACTCATGTATATTTTTCTTCTGATAATTACCTCACTCGCGTAGCTACTGGAAACTTAATTGTAAATACGTTTGCCTACGTTGTGTTATTATTATTATCCGTTATAATTATGATACAATGTTATTATCCGTTATAATTATGATACAATGTTTGGATAGTGTATCATGATATACAAGGTTTTATATATTTTTTCATATACTATGTTGAGTTTTTTGTTCTTTGTAGATATCATTTTCGTTTTTTCCCTGGCAATTAATTAGTGTGACGCGTCAAACGGTTTGTCTGTGTGTTTATTTGTGCGTATGCGTGTGTGCGTGCGTGTGCGTGGTAGTTAATTTTTTTTCTATTCATTTTTGTGATCATTCATTCATTTATTTGCTATTTTACTATTGATGCAACCATGCATTAGATCATACTCCTATTTATTAATTCATTGATTCTTCGTTGGTTAATTAATTTAATAATTCACTCATTCATTCATTTATTTACTCACTCATTCATTCATTCATCCAAGTCATCCAATTTATCCACTTCTACTTTCTATCCCTCCTTGCTGTAACATACTCTTTGCTTCATCACTTCACTGTACATACTATTTGTTAATGAAAAATTTTCTTCTAAAATCTGTCACTATATAGTGATATATTTATATACATATGTGTGCGTGCGTGCGTGCGTGTGTGTGTATGACATATTGTTGTTGATGTTGTGGTCATCTTTGTTATTGAGTCAATGTATTATGGAGTTTTTTTTTCTAGACTACTTGTTATTGCTACACGTATTAACATTGCTTTTGTTTCTTCTTATTATTATTACTACTATTGTTTTTATATGAATATGTCCATTTGGAGTTATTTTTACTGGGCTGGTGGACCGGAATTTGAATTTTAAAAATCTGGACGGAATGTAGTGGCTTAATTATTTCTTCCAGAAAGCACACTGAGAATTACTAAATCACAAAAGTACAAAATTACTACTTGTAATAAAAAATTGTTGACATTAATTAAATCAGTCTTTTTACTTGGTCTAAGGCTTGGAAATAAAATATATTCAGTCAATAAGGCTTGGAAATAAAATATATTCAGTTAATAAGGCTTGGAAATAAAATTTATTCAGTTAATAAGGTTTGGATATAATATGTATTCAGTTAATTATATCGGGTTGTTGAGTCTCAGCCGATAATCTTTTTTGAAATTCTGCACTTCTATCTTAAATCTATTCCTCGCAGAGGCAATTTCGTAAAATCTGGAAATATTTTTTTCATAATTTCCGTACGACTCGCCTAAAACCGGGACTACCTGGTCGGGAGAGTTTATTACGCTACATGGTTTTTTACGGGTTTCTTACTACTACTTCTATTACCACTACTACTACTACTGCTACTGCTACTACTGCTGCTGCTTTTATTACTACTTCTACTGTTGTAAAATTTTTAAAAAATAATTTATATAAAACGTCTAATCAACAGAAATATTCTTTTTTGTAATATTAGTTATAATAATATTGTAACAATAATATTATTATTCTCGTTATTAATATTGGTGAGTGTTTTTATCCATATCTATGTAATCCTACCACAACAATATCAAAGTTATATCAAGCAGGATATATAGCATATAAATGTTAGACATAGTCATTAATATGTGGAAGTGTGTGTGTGTTTGTGCGTGTGTGTGTGTTTGTAGTATTTGTTTATTTTAGCTCTTTATATATTTTTTTTATATAATTTCAAGCTTATCATCATATCTCGGTTTTTAGTTAACCACAATTTCTAGTTAAATTAAATATTTTAGATTTTAATTTTTTTTTTAAATTTAACTTAATCAATTTAATTTATATTTATTTATTTATTTCTTCATTGATGTGTATCACACAGTCTAAACGTTTTTTAGCAGCTTTTTTTTTCAAATTACCACATTGCATACATAATTTAATGTTTATTGTTTTGTTGTGAAAAAATTTTAAACGTCCTCTTATCGACCACTTGTACGAACACAGTATGCAGGAAACTTTCTGGAATCTGTAACTTTTGGTTTTAGCTTATGGATCTTTTTAAAATGTAATTTACATTTTATATATTTGTTTAATTTTTTATTAACTTATAAGAAAATTGAATTAAATGGTAGATTTACTGATGTGTGTTCTCTCTTTTAAATTTTTGCCCATATTTATTTCATCAATAATAATATACAAGTGCGAACTCTTTTTTAGGTACTTTCATTTCAATGTCATCTTGCAATAATGCTTTTATAACTTACCTCAACATTCAAGTGGCGTCAGTTTGTATGTAGAATAGATAGGTAGATTGATTGTGTGTGTTTGTGTGTGTGTGTGTTTGTGTGTGTGTGTGTGTGTGTGTGTGCTACTTTGCTTTGTGTCATTTTTACTTTTCAAAACTGACACGGTTTATTAACTGTTAGTTATATATCAGATTGTCGTCTGCCACAAGTTTTATACTTGGCATGCGGATTACTATTTTTCAACTGTCGTATTTCGGATTTACTGAAGCTTGCATGTTTAGTGTGTGAATAGTTTTTTACTGGGTTTTTTTTTATTAAAGAAATTTGATGCACGCAACTTTCAGTTTGTTTGTGTTTTATTTCACTGTTAAAATGATAGTTGAAATATTTGAAAAAAAACATAAACTATGAAATGAGAAGACAACTGAAGAGAATAGGTAAAAATATTTTAAATATGGCATCAGCATGTTAACAATCCAACGGCTTTTTCCCTTTGTGAAGTTTTACATTTAAAAATTTCTCTCCCATTCAAGCTTCTGACGGCACAATCATAAGACCAACATATAGACAATAGAATGGTCTCGTGCCATTGTGAGGTGCAAGACATATCTTTTTTAGGACCATTTTTCATGTTTCGTTTTTTTATGCGTTACACGAAATAAACTTGTTAAAAAAAAATATCTCAAAATTCGGCGTTCATCACCGGTTGCTGTCTCAACGCGAGAATTTTTGTGCTCGATTGACTCATTCGTCACAAGATTGTTATTATTAGCCTTCCTGCCTTGCACTGATGATAAGCTTGAATCATTCGACTTTCCTCCTCTTCCAAGTACTTGGCCAGATTAATTTTTTGAATAAATGATTCAAACGAGACTGAATTTCGATGAAAGAGCAGAGGCAGTTGTTTATGGTGAGTTAAAAATCACGTATAATTTCAGTTTCAATACAGATGACCACTGATCGCTCTCTGCATCACACAGCTCTCCATCCTTTGTTGATTGAATTTTTCAAAATTAAAATTAACGTTCAAATTGCTTAGTATAAAAGTACATATGTTAAATTATTTTGTCTTTGAAATTGAAAACAACACAAAACGTACTAATGACTAACAAAACATATGAAAGGAATGATAGCGACGAATTTAAGCATACTAACCATTGCATCCAATTGAGGAAAACCCTCAGGTTGGCCTAGCTTATGTGTTACAATTTATCTCCAAAGACGAAAATCTCACTCGGTGCATGGCCTAATCCGTCAACATGGGAGCCCTCGAGAACCATTCGTTGCAAGAAGGGTCATACCACATGACGACCTCATCACTTTGAAATTAATACAGTTCACTCTCCATTTAAGCCACCATTACTTCCTACGTCCTCTACACTCCTTTTTACTTTTTATTTTCAGCTCTTTGCAACCTCGAAAATAAATTTTAATTCCGATTGTGCAGCTGCAATTCAGCTCAGTATATATGCTACAATATATGCTACAATATACTGATACTCTTTAGTCATTCGGAATATTATCAATAGGTTTGGGTATGTTTTAGGCAATTTTCCCACTTTACTTATGTATATATATATATATATATATATATATATATATATATATATACATACATACATACATACATATATATACAATACATATATGATATATATATTGAGTCCGCTATGTTCATTAAATTTTATACACACGCACACACTGGCGTATTTGTTCCCATTTCCCTCCATTTTTGTTTGTCATTCTCGAATCCCTCCAGGATTTCCATTCCATTCACGACAACGCTCCCTAAAATTCCCATTTCCTATCTTTTTAATCTACTTCCCACATTTTCCCACCCGTCTCCTCCCATTTTTAACCATTTTAAAAATTTTTAAACACAAAAAAAAAATTATAAACACGAACCAAAAAATGTCCAAAAGCTTAGAAAAGTATTAAAACAAAAATAAATTACATTTATAACAATTTTATACATGTTCATAAATATTCATATTATGTGAAGTTCTAATGACCACGAGTGGGTCTAGATGTGTGTTTGTGTGTGTGTCGACCACATGTTTGTGAAAATATATATTTTATATGAAATTTCTTTATGGCCTCATTGCTCTCACGCGGTTATCTTCTTTGTTAACACTCAACACACACGAAAACGTGAACTTGAAACACAACAATAACGTCGTTTTTTTAAACTTTTCATATGAATATTTAAATCCTATTCTACATGCGGCAAAACTTTTGTTTTTCGAGTTGTTATTGATTAATTTTGAATAAGTTGAAGGAAGAAAAATTTTATAGTACTTTTCATTGACTCTTATTTTTGGCTTATCAATGTTCTTTATATTTTAAAATATGGGTTTCACTTATAAAATGGTGAAAAAGTTTGTTTAAAACCGATATAAAAATTGGGAAAGTTGTCACTGGTTGCCGTAAATATAATTTCATCACCAAGTCTGTCTTTTTTGCAGAGTTTTATCCTTCAAATTTAAACTTCTTACTGGTTCCGAGTAATGTTTCGATATTTTCTTTGAATCTTCCAAATTTCCACCACCACCATTATCAGCAACAGCACTAGCGTCTGCAGTAGGAGCAGCAGAATCATTGAACAATATAGATGGCGGAGATATATTAGCCGAGAACTCCTTCGAAATTTCATGATCTCCTCCAGTTGGTTTTGGCTTGTCTTGACATTAAAAATTAAATTAATATCTTTAATTTAATAAATAATTTAATAACTTTGCATGGTTCTAAACCTTTTGATGTTTCCGATCGATGGACTAATCTTTTTTTAGTTTTCTTCGATTTTCTGTCAGCGTCAGCAACGGTCGCACTGAACAGAGTAGCTGGAGGCAGACAGACGTCAGTAGATTCATTCAATACCTCATCAACTTTTTTATCTTCCTTTTCAGTTGATTGCGAACTGCTTGGAAATGAATCCACGGAGGGCTCCGGAATTAGTGAAGAAAGTGGAATCATCTCTTTTTGAGCCTCTTGAACTCTAGCGCTACTTCGGTTTTGTGACATACCTTGTGTGCTTCTTTGTTGGGTAATTCTTCCAAAAACTCTACCGCTACTTCGGTTTTGTGATATTTTTTTGTGTGTTTCTTTGTTGGATTGTTCTTTCATAAGAGGGTATCAGTGAGACAAGGGGATTTGCTACATTCCCCTGCATGTCTGCCGTTCGAACAAATGCTTCTTCTTCAGGATTCCTATCAGACGAGAGATCAACTGTATAGACTACCCTTCTTCCTCTCTTTTCCCAATATATTCTGAAAGTTTTTTCTCCAGTTCACTAATCTTCTAATAATTTTTTAATTCAAAACACTCACATGATACGGGAAAATAAATAAGCAATGAGGAAGGCAGTGAAAAAAAGTATTAATAAGATGACCCCAAGTTGTTTTCCACCGTCCTCACCTGCATGAATGTGTTGATTTTTCGTACGTTAACAGCAAAGAATAAAAATCAACACATAATCAATAAACTTTTTGAAATTGCTTAAAAAAATGGCACACTACCCGCTTTGGATGTTTGTCCGAATGGTACAATAGTCGTTGTATCCATATTCGAGGAAAACCAGGCTAGGCTAACTTGGCAATATTTGGTTGCTATAAATTGTACTTTATCAAAAAGATTAATTATTTTTTCTACAAAATTGTTTTAAAATAATCTGCAAACATTGAACGAGAAAATGTAATTCACCAGTTTACATAGAATCTTACAGCATACAACCCATCATAGACATATCTTATATATTTTATATCTAGAAGGAAAAAAAACATATCTTATATTGTGTGTGTTTAGAGACTAAAAAAAATTTCAATGAAATTGTTGTTATCCGGCAAGATTGGATATCAATTGTTACAGGATAATTTGTACTACAGATAAGTTTTCTCGTGAAACGATTTTGTGCAAGTAGAAGTATACTACATTTTTGTACGCTATTCATAATTCAGCGTTATATCATATTTAGAGTGATGTTAATAGAACCCATATGTTGAAAATTTAATTAATTTTAAAAATATATATTGTATATTATTTCATATTTAGAGTGATGTTAATAAAACCCATATGTTGAAAATTTAATTAATTTTAAATTACTCAAGATTCAGTATTCGATTAGCAGTTAATGTATTTTTACTTAAATACTGTCTTCAAGTAGCTTAAATGTTCATAAATGATGCAAATAATTTAAATACCATACAGTCTACATATGATCCACTTACACGGTTAGTGAATGGGTCAAATATACATTGTAAAAAATTTTGTATTCAAATAACTTTTTTTAAATCATAACAGAATGTGATTCATACAATACAATTAGGTAGAAGAATTCTTCATGGAGTAAAAACGTCACACATTCACTAGGCTGAAAGAAAAGTACGGTGTTTTAAACTAATTTGTTAGTATTCGAATTAGCTTGTCTATAAATAACTATTATATTTCTGTCGGCTTTCACACTATTTAAACAAAAATTTAGTTGATTATTCAGTGAATTTTGCATCATTCAATTTATTTTACAAACCCCGATTTAAAATTCAATCGATTGAATGTTGAACAGGTAATGCAAAATTTTATTGAGAGCCTTGATGACTCTTGCATTTCACTGCGTGACATAATCAAAATTTTTTTATATATGAAATTTTGATTAACCTCCAGAATTTGATAATTTGATTTTTTTTTAAAGTAAATTTTTATAACAGCCCTCAAAACACTAAACAACTGTTTCGAAGAATTTTTTCGAATCATTGTAACAAAAATAAAATTAAAAGATAAGATTAATATTTAATTTTTTGTTGCAACTCAACCACCATTGTTTACCATTCAACACTGTTAACAGCTGATGTTACGTCAATTTGAGAGTCGTTTATTCCGAAGTTGAGAGTCATTTACTTCGGTGTAACGAAGTAATCGGTGCCGGCGATGGTGGTCACGATACCTTTTTTCATCTTCTTACAGGCCGCTTGCATGTTTGCTTTCCCTTCGTGGTGGCAGTAGTCCAGGGCATACACTTTGTTCATGTAAGCAAAAGTGCCAAACTGAAAATTTGTTGGGATGCTTGAACTTTGATGTGCGTTCGGGTGAATTGTTTAATAACATTTGATTCAAATTTTCTTGATAATAATTCCAAATAATAATTTTATCTCATTAAATAGATAAATGTGATTGTTAGCGGGAAAAGTATCACGTTCTGTCTCTGTTGAAAAGTTTGAGGTGTTCTAATTTTTATAAATTATTTAGAAAATTAAAAATATTTTAAAAATTAAATTGAAAAAAATTTAGATAAATTAAAATTTTTGCTCTAACATAAAAGACGATTTTGGTTTTGACATCTGGCATGGCCTGAATGGCTGTGCCCATATCTCCCTTGTATGTGCACTGCAAATTTAGGGAAAAAATAAACATTGAAACTGTTTAAACAAAAGAAAAAAATGAAGTAAAATACGTGGACCCACTGACCTCACAGTAGAGAATCTTCCCTTCCTGATGTTCCACGTGACTGCTGTAGGCCACACTGATTGAGGCTGTTGTCCCATCGTTGTCCACTTTCAGTTGCAAGGAGGCCGTTTGTGGACATTCAGCTGCGTGGCAAACAGTTTGTGGAAGTGATTTTTTATTTTTAAATTATTCTATAACATTTTATTCAAAAAGTAAATATGCACAAAGATTAAATGAAAATGTTAAACTCAAAAAAAGGATTGAACTTCGGACCAGGTCGATCGGAGGCAGCCAAACATTGATAGAGTGTCACGACACTCAACACAGCCAAACAATGCAATGAATACATTTTCTTCAAACAAATTATTATTATTTTATTAAAAAATAAAATATAAACTATTTTGAATAGTTTGCTACTTGTTTGCAAACTCACAAATGCCTTCAGTTAAACATCACCAACTCGTTTATAGCGAATCGTTCATCGAACCACGCTAAGCAAACGTTACAGATGATCGAATCATTTAACAAAAAGATGATCTACATTGTTTATATTGCGTTGGCAAACAAAAAACTCAAACTTGAAAAATGAAAATATTTGTAAAACATTATTCTCTTCAATGCATGTACATTGAAACCTACAAAGTTATATACCACTTGCATTAAATTATGTTATAAACAACTCAACGAGTTATATTACGTAAAACAAATATAGAAAACATTGCTGAACATTTTTTTTCTCTGAAGAAAAAAACAACTGAAGCATAAGCAGATGAGCACAATGAACTGATAAAAGTTGACGAGATAGAGAATAATAAAGAACGAACGTCAAAATGAAAGGAATAAAAATATGAACAAGGGTTGATAGGTTGAGAAACTTTTTTTCTTTAGTAAATGTAAAAAAACATCTCAGTCAATCAATCAATCAATCAATCAATCAATCAATCAATCAATCAATCAATCAATCAATCAATCAATCAATCAATCAATCAATCAATCAATCAATCAATCAATCAATCAATCAATCAATCAATCAATCAATCAATTAATCAATCAAACAATCAATCAGTCCGTCAATCAATCAATCAATCAATCATCAGCACTCCTCAATGAATTTTGAAAACAGATGGGTCTTGAGATCCGCTCTGAACTTTGTAAATGATGGAGAAGTAGTCAGAAAAGGAGGTAGAGAGTTCCAGAGAAAAGGACCAGAAAAAGCAAAAGCAGACTTAGCAAAAGAGTGTTTAACACGAGTTAAGAAGAAGCGAGAACAAGAAGACGATCGTAAACCGGGGCGTTTAGGTTCAATTAATATATCTGATAAATACTTAGGAAATAATTTAGATTGAGACTTATACATGAACGTGCAAATTTTAAAAATTATTTTATATTTTATAGGTAGCCAGTGCGAGAGAACAAGATATGGAGATATATGAGAAAAAAAAGGGGCACGAGCAACTAGACGAGCAGCAGAGTTAAAAGCTTTACTTAAATGATAGAGTATAGAATCAGGAAGACTATAGTAGAGCCAGTTACAATAATTAATTCTAGATAAGACTAACAAAGTAACAAGAAGGAGAAGAGTAGGATCATCAAGAAAAGGTAAAAGTTTTTTATACCACGTAGATGAAAGTAAGAACTTCTAGCGACACTATTAATCTGCGAAAAAATAGACAAGTTAGAATAAAAGATAGAGCCTAGACTACGAAACTTGTGAGAAACATCAAGAGTTTTAAAATCTGGTTAGATAATAATAAGGAATAGTAATAGAGAGAGAGAAAGAGAGAGAGAGAGAGAGAGAGAGAGAGAGAGAGAGAGAAATAGATGATGAAGAGCACTATCGAGATTAGATGGAAGAAATGAAGTATAAATATAAAAATCATCAGCATATAGTGAAAGAAAAGTTATTAACAATACGAGGTAGTTATTAATAATATGAGATACGAAGTATAGTATATAGTATAAATAAAAGAGGGCCAAGGATAGAACCCTTAGGTACCCCAAAAGTAAGAGTAGAGGAGTTAGAAGTAGAATTATTAAAAACAACAGAAGAAAAACGATTACAGAGATAAGAAGAAAACCAAGATAGACACGAATCAGTAATATTAAAAGAAAAGATTTAGCAGTCTCAAGAGAATAGCATATCAAACAGTATCAAAAGCCTAGGAAAATCCAAGAGTAAGAAGAAGAGTAAGATTACTATTGTCACTAGAGAGAAGGATATCATTGTGAATTTTGAGTAAAGAAGTTTCAGAACTCAACGTGTTTCGCGATAAATGCGTGGTACAAAATGTTCCACTACCAACCACGCATTCTGTTTGAAATTGTTTGACTAGAATATTTGCAATCCGAAAATATTTTGTGTAAAACTGTACATGATTCAAACTATTTTTTCTCTTTTTTTTTGGTTGATTGGCATTTGATGCTTTGATGACGTACTATTGTAATAAGTGTTGGTAAATTAATTTGTTTCAAATGTCTAGTGATTATAAACAGTTAATTAAATCTACAATCTAAGATATTTATGTAAGCGAACTACCTGTTTAATAGATTAAATAATGTTTTAACCCTTGCCAAAAGTTTCAAATGTTTGTAGGTAGTTTAGGCTACCCATAAAATTTATGAATTTCAAAAACTGCTACTCAAATTTTTTCTCATTCGTATTCAAACATCTCAATTTTATCCGATATTCATCAATAACTATGGAATTTAAAATAAGTGTAATGATAGAATTCTTTCTCTTCATAAAGTTGTCATGGAAATTTGGATGAGTTAAAGTCAAAAGAAGTTGAGTTGGTCTTAAAAAGAATGTTTCTCCAACGTTTCCATCACATTGATTTGATAGAGCCGATTTTTGTTGTCCTTCGTCAGTCTTTAATCATGAGAAAAATGCTTTACGATTGACGAACGGATTCTTAATTATCAAAATTTGATGACATCATCTGCAACATTAGACGCAAGAAAAATTATCTGGTTTTGTTACATTATTATTATGTATATTTTAATTATTTTTATTTATATTATTTATTGATCGCCAAATAACATATGTGACTTGTACAATTTAGAAGAACATTTTATTTTCATATAAAGCAGACTAACCAACTCGTAACGACTTCTACAAAGTTTAACGTACAACAGAAAGATAACGAAAACATAAGCACACCAAGACAATGAGCTAATAGTAAAAAAACGCTGGCGAGAATGAAGAGGATATAGAAGGAACATTTACAAAATGACATTCGATTTGAAAAAAATGGCTATTAAATTGAAAATTTTAAAAATCGAATACTGGTTCATTTATTTGTATTCATGAACAAACATTCATACTCAACTATGAAATCGTGAGACGAGCAGCAAATTGCCACACAAAAAACATTTGAAAAACTTGAACTTTGACAATGAATTTTATTCTTTGACGTTTTCAAAAAATTTGAATATGTAAAATTGAGGCCTTTTTTTAAATTGTTCACAAAATATTAACAGTAAAATATTTCACAAAAAGTTGTGTAAACTCAACAGTCATATAAAAGTATGATATAATATAAAATCATAAAATACTTCTGCATAGATCTGCAATGCTTCACACCACACACAAACACACACACGCACACAGATACACACACATATACGCGCGCACACTCAAATTAATCAATCACTTTTTAAAATATTCGAGATGTATTTAACTTCTGTGGAGATGTCGTTGAAATTAGGCCGATATTGAGGAGGTAGCGAGAGGCATCTTTCGATAAGGTTCCACAATTCGTCAGGACATCCAAGCGGACATGATAGTCTGAGGCGAGATGATGAAGAGGAAAGATTCACAGATGTGGCTGTGGATGAAACTGATGTTTGTTTGGTCGATGGCGATGAGATTAGCACCACTGGATGGAGTTGTTGACGGTGGCGTTTGGGTTGCAGCTGTGAATTCCCAGCATCAACGTTTGGATGAATTTGATGCTTGAAATGATGGTAACCTCCCTGAAGTTGATTTTGATGGGTTTGCTCAAAAGATGTAGAAGATAGTAAGGATGAAGATAGCCTGGATGCTGTCTGAACTGCGTGCGATGTGGATGATGGCAAGGAAGATGATGACGACGATGATGGTGGTGACGATGTTGCAAACTGTGGAAAGGTTTTGGTAGGTGCTGATGTGAATCTGGATTCTGGAGATGATGAATGAAACATTTCGCGAAGACTGAACAGTTCCGTCAACACCTCGTCATCCGATGAATTCGGAAAAAGTTTGGCCGAGAAAGTAAAAATTTCAACAAAAAGAAGAGCCAGTGACCAAACATCGCTGCTCCAATCAGCAGCCGCTGCTTGCTGTGGTTGTCGACCAATCATGGAATGTGGATGTAGCTGTGATGACGTCATCTCTCGTGATGATGTTGACGATGAGAATGGCAGGGGTGATAGATTTGTTGTTTGAAGATGTGATGATGTGGAAGAGATGAGCTGATGGATGAGCTCTGGTGAGGTCCATCTCAGAGGAAGAATCTCACCATTCAACATAATGTGGTCCTCATCTAGGTTTCCTGTTGTTGTAATTTTTATTATTATCAATATTATTCTTTAAATTAAATTAGTTTATTAATAAAGATGAATCCTAAATGTTGGAATATATTAAAATTCCTATGTTTGATTGTCTTTACCACCATTGTGAAAGTTGGCATACATCATAGTTCTAAACGAGATCTGACTTGTTGATCAGTTTTTATGAGTTTGTATAGAACAAACATTCACATATTTTGGTGGATGTAGGTACATTTTTGTTTAAATATTATGCTTTACAATGCAATATAATTTAAAAATATTTCTGGCATATTTCTGGTTAATTCCTATTTAAATTAGTAAATTAGAAAAAAGTTAAATAGTTGAACCTTTATCATCATAGCAAGCAGACGGTAGACATATTTTAACATCCAATGAAGCGCTAACTACCACATTACGAGCGTTTAAAAATTTGAAAGGCTTCAGTCTATTGGACGCCATACTTTCCTGATTATCGTCTGATTGGTTGTTTATTTTCTGGGTCAAATAGTGCATGCCAATAGTAATTTGATGTGCGAAATGAAGCTGTCTGTCAACGGTCAGGATGGTTGGCATCTGTGGAAGGCGGTGCTCCTGAATGAAGAACTTTAAGAAGTCTCTCAAGTTGCCCTGTGTGTTTGTGTGTGTGTGCGTGTGTGTATGTGTGTGTGGTTGTCTGTGTGTTGGTCGGTAATTGTTAATGTGTGGTTGGTTGTGTGTGTGTTCAACCTCGAACTCCAACAGGCAAGCGTTGGAGTTCGAGGTTTAAGGAGTGATAGGAAGAGGTCGTCCGCGACTGGGATGGAGAGAGCAGGTGGAGAAGGACAAAGTGAAAGCGGGGTTGCGTGATACTGAGGCGAGTGACAGATGTGAATGGCGTCGAGGGGTATTTCGGTTTCATCATAGGTAGCCAAACGGCAACCCCAGATCTCGGGGAAAATGTCGTCTAAACGTGTGTTGTTGTGTTGTTGGTTGTGTGTGTGTGGTTGGCAACAGAATGACCGATTATTAAATAAGTTAAGTGGAAAGTCATTTCTATTTGCCAGTGCCTTTTGTATAGCCGTGTTTGTGTTTAGTTCGTGCATGATTATTTCATTTGTGTGAATTTGTTTTGTCAGTTCGTGCCCGATTTTTTTTAGCTTAAAATGTGTTTTGAGAGTAGTGAGTATATGAATGTATTGGGAATGGTAATTTTGTTTTTTGGTGACTTTTGAAAACTTTTAACACATGTATTTATTTATAAATTGAAGCCATTTAAAATATTGCATATCAACGCTTAAGGAATGTATGAATATTATACATTAGGAAAAAACAAAAGAAAAAAAACTCACATTAGTTGGATATTCCACAGCGATAAAATTTGTATGGTAGGCCAACATTTGGACGAAAAATGTACTGTCTCTTGTCAGTTTCATCAGCTCAACTTCATCCTCAAACATTCGCCTTTTCTGGAAAATATTGACGCCCACACGTTTCAAAGTTGCAGATGATGACGGAAGTTTGGATGGTTGTGCTGTGGAGAAATTATGAAGGGATGTAACTTTCGTCGGCGAGGAATTTTCGCAGAGGCCAGAAATATGTTGAAAACGGTTGAATGTTAGTGGCAATTGATGAAGGCTATGATACGGGTTTGTGAGGCTGTTGTTGTTGTTGTGGTTTTTGTTGTTGTTGACATTATTATTATTATTATTATTATTGTTACTATTGTTGTTGTTGTTGTTAATAGTACAAAATCGCGAGGTTTCGCTGTATGGTTCATCGTAGTAGTTGTCAGGTTCCTGTCTGAAATGTTGGAGGTGTGGAGAATGCTGGGTCTGATAGTGCAGGCGATATCCTTGGGTTTGGCTGTCGTCATTTTGTTGATCTTGTGGCTCGAGATAAATTTGCTGCTGCTGCTGCTGTGGCTCTAAAAATATTGACGCAAGTGGATGTCGTCTGCCTGTTAAGTGTCCGTCAATATTTGGTTTCAACGCAAAGCGATCGCCGTGTCGTTGAAGAAGTGGTAGTGGCTGTTGTTGCTGGTGTGGTTGCGGCTGTTGTGGCTGTCGTTGCTGGTGTGGTTGCGGTTGGTGTGGTTGCGGTTGGTGCTGTTGCTGCAAACGTAGTTGCTGTGAAGTATGTTGCCGCAAAGTCTGTTGATCTTTATTATGTAATGGAATGGAATCGTTGCTTTTGTAACCGTTCTCAGTGATTGTATTAGCTTTAGAGTTGGAATTATTTGTGAGACTACAGTTGTTGGAACAATTGTGGCCGCTGAAAATATCATTAATGTCGTAAATATTGTTGTTGAATGAGTTTTCGCCCAGTGTGTTAATGCTGTTATTGTTGTTTTTTACATTAATAATGTTACATCTATTGTTTAAAACTGGTCTCACTACGTTCAGTTGAGTTCTATAAGATGGCTGTTGGGAGTTAGTGGGTGGAAAAATTTGTTGATGTGATGAACTTTGTTGATGTAGTTTTGGATGTTGTTCATTGCACTGATGTTGTTGTTGTTGTTGATGTTTTTGTTGCTGCTGATGTTGTTGTTGATGTTGTTGTTGATCACTCTTCTGTTTAAAGTTCTTAAGCTCGCAGTTAATGTAATCACACTCATTGCATTCATCATCAGCAGCATCATTTTGAATGTTGTTGTTGTCATCACCATCATCACCAAAACTGATCTGTCCTCCATCACCATCAAAATCCTGCACTACCCCACTACCGCTTCCGGATTCGTCGTCCTCTTCATCATCATTCTCCTCATCTATCACATTGTTTACATTATTTACTAGCTTCACCATCACAAGAGATAGTGATGATGACGACGATGGTGATGATTTGTCACGTTTTAGCCTGCACATAAGAACATCACCATAGCAACCTTCACCTGACGAGTAAAAATATAATCAGTGTACAATTACATGCAATAAAGTTAAAAAAATTTTAAAAATTCAACATTATGACGCTGATTTTAAATGTTATTTCGATTGTTAACTGCTTATTTTATTTATGACGGACATTATTAAAAATAATTCAAAGACGTTAAAATTAGCTTAAGAAATTAAGCTTTTGTGGGATTCCTTGTTATCTGAAATTTTGGTTTCTTTTGGAATACTTTTTCATGTGTTTTCATGAAATAAACTTATTAAAAAAAAAATCAATGAGTTCAGTTTGTTCAGTATCAGTAGCAAACAACTAATATAACGAGGGAAGGTTTTTTTTAAATTGGGTGTAGGTCCAGTTCGCAATAGTTTGCTTAGTTGGGTTGCGATTCACGTTGTTAACTTCTATAACTGAAACTTCTAATAAACCGTTAAGTTTGTTTTATTTCAAATATTTAAAAAAATGTCTCACTAACTAACCTATGTAAGATAAGATATCCAGTCCGTGTTCTTCTAGCAGACGTTGTTCATACATCCTGCAATCTGATTGGTTGTTAACCAGCCTATCATATGACAGGGTTTGATTTCCCACCGAGCAGTTTGCTTGCCTCATTGAAAAGTAACAGTTTATTGGTTGCTTGACAGCGCCTGGATATTGTGCATTCAAATGTATTTTAAAAATTGCAATATTGACATTGTAATAACCATCCCACTTGTGACTATAGTACATTTAATTATGGCTCAGGTTTTATCAAAAAAATGGTAGAAAGGCGATTGCTCAACTTTAAAGTTAAGAGAGGTTTTTTATTTAAAAAGAACTAGTTAAAACTAATTCAATGCCGATGACATTCAATGAGAATAAAGAAGCAATAACCATTTATGTAGAATAACATATATAGAAAATTCCTTATTATTATGTAATAGAGGGCCGTACCATGTAAAAGAGGGCCGTAATAATTTTGTAATCTTTGACCCTGTAGACTTCATTCAATCGCTAAGTTTTTAAAAATTTGTTGGGAGAATACGCTATCGTACCATTCTATGTATGTGCCAATAACGTCAGCGGGTTCACTCTTCAAGAAATCAACTGTTATTATTTAAACGCTAGAGTATACTGAACTTTTTTTCTTTATGGCAATTTTATTATTTTGTCTAAATTACATTATAAAAGTGAAATTTAAGTTTAATGTTTAATTATTATGGGGAAATTATGTCAAAATTTGGATCAGCAAAAATGTTAAGTGAGTTGAATTTTGAATTACCACAGTTTATGAAAATTTCCATGTATTAATAGTAACGTAACGAGAGAAAGGTAGGTCATAATTTAACAATCTTGCGTTAAAGCATAAAAGCTTGCAGCCTAATTTTCTAAAATATCCAAATACGCCATATCATCCATTTGAAACTCTCGACTGACCCGAGTTTGTAGTTGATGTCGTCGATGCTACAGCTGCAGTAGACGCTGACGGTGGCGAAGACAGCGACGATGATGGTGACGATGACGACGATGCCGTTATGAGGACATTGTGCATGTTTTGTATCTCCTTCATGATCTTCATCTTCCGCCTCCTTCTCGTCACTAAGCAACAGATCACCATGGCAACCGTTGCCATGATGTAAACAACCGAGCAGATGACGGTTATGATGACGATGACGGCTGTAGAAGGCGATGATGATGGTAATGATGTGGATGATGATGATGACGATGAAGAGGAGAAAACTGAGTGATCTGTAAAAAAAAATAGAGGACGATTTTGTATGTCAAGAAATTTCACTCTTTTTCTAGCATCGTTTGAATAGACTGACCAAGTAGCCAACGACGAATGATCCATCGACAACATGGTACCATCATATTAATAATAATAACAACAACAACAGCAGCAACAACAAAAGCAACAACAGCAGCAACAACAACAGCAGCAGCAACAACAACAACATCAACAACAACAGCAGCAGCAACAACAACAGCAGCAGCAGCAACAACAACAACCAACCAACGACATCAATGTAGAACTCTTGTACAACAGCACCAACTTCACTGACACCATGGCAGCTATACCATCCGACATCTTCATACCGTACTGACTTTATCTCGAGAGACCCATTCTTTAAAATCTGCAAGTACGGTTGAAAAGGATGCAAGCACATTTGCATGTAGAAGACGAAAGCAGCGCCTTTGGGTTGCATTAAAGGGCGCTATATAAATTCTCTAATAATAATAATAATAGTAATAATAATAATAATAATAATAATAATGATAATGATAATAATAATAATAATAGACGTATCGTTTTGTTATTTTTCATATCGGTGTGTGTCGGTCCGTATAGTTTTGTATGCATATAATACTAAATCATTTTTTTTGGTATTTATATTTCTGTTAGGCTTTTTGTATGAGAGTATGTGTTTGTGTGAATGAAAAGAAAGAAAAAGAGAGAGAAAGAGAGAAAAGAGAGAGAGAGAGAGAAGAGAGAGAGAGAGAGAAAATGATTAAAAGAATTGTTTGATAAATTCAGGTACACAGCATCATTATAACAACCACGTCATTGTAAGAACAAAAAAAATCACCTTGATCCGATGGTCATCTACGAAGTAGGCCCCATAACCTTTAACCCACTCCAGACTGGGCATTGGCAGGCCCTCCGCGTCACAGCTAATGATGAGGGGGTCAGATTCAAGAACGGTCTTGTTCTGAGGCAGTATCGTGAAGAATGGTTTCACTGAGGGGAAGAAAGAAATGGTGTATTTAATATAACTGAATCATTTATAACTGTATTTTATAGATATTTAATGTGTATCTACAGATTATTGCTGATTCTGTTGTATTTTAAATGATAAAAAAACAAATCAATTAAAGAGGATAATGATGATCAACATACCAACCAACCAACTAATCGTCAACCGATCAACCAACCAGCCATCCAACCGACCAACCAACCAAACAACCAAACAACCAACCAACCAACCAACCAAACAACCTA